TTCCATTGCCTCCCTGATTGGTACCATTGTGAACAATGAAACCACATCAAAACTCACAAGGATTTCCCCGGGCGATAACGACGAGTGCAACCTCTTGGGTAGTCCGTAGAGCCTTGGTGGGAGTGCTTCTGATTTTTTGAGTTTTGCCAACTCCTCGGATGGAGATGTCATATCCTTAATTCATTTGTTCGTTGTTCTTAGTATCCATATTTGCTATTAGGTGCATTTCAAAATCAGATAATGCCACCTACATTACAAATCTGTTTTTTCTGAGTGTTATTGTCAGACTAAACACAGGTAATGGAACAAAAACGGGTCAGAAAGGTGCCTAAAATTAGCATGTCTCGCAAACTGTACATTACCTCACATCAATGGATAGAATCAAATGTGAGTTATTAATTTTGATCCAAATCAACTGGGGTGTGGGTCAGGACAAAATTTGTAAATTAGAATACGGCCCGTTGAAAGACAGTTTTGAGCTTTAGTAATCAGGTTGCGTTCATTAGCAAAGTGAAATCGTTACAAAATAAAACTTCTCAAAAAATCATACTTCTGGTCATCACTGATCATCGGTATTTTTTTGAGATACAAAATCCATATTGTGGAACTACCCGCAAAACATTTGTTTGTTGCAAATTTACCTGTCCGACTGAAGAGTATACACATTCAATCGAGTTTGTGCAGAAATTATGGTCCAACGGTAAGAACACGTTATACTGTGTCTGAGAGCTACCATTTACTTTAAGTTGGGCTTGATTCATACTTTGAAAAATCTGCTGATGAATGTTTGTACTAAACCTGTAAGCATTAGTCAACGTAAAAAATCTGTGCTTTGGTATGTTTAGGCTATTTGTCTTAAGACCTTAATACATTGTCTGTTGGTAAACCAATTTGTTGTAAGTTTCTCAAATATTCAAAATATGAGATCACTGCAGCGCCCGAACTTGCATAGATATCGGGAATAACTAATTTGGATTTGGTCGTCAGAATTTTATGGGATGTGGGGGTAACCGGACCATCTGCAGAAACGCAACGTTTAAAATGAAGATAATACGTTACTACAGTGCATGGAAGCTCACCTGAAGCTTCTAAAATTACCCTGGCTTTCACGTCTCTAGCTATGTAGCAGACTAAACTCTTCTGGCGAGCTGCTAGTACCAAGATATCACATTCCTCTGTGAAAATAGAGTCAGGAAACTCCGTTTTCGATATGCCAAAATTCTCAATAGTGCCATGATCATCTTTGTATTTATACAACTCCTAAAATTCTCACATGGTGCAGTAAAAGTCATAATATTAAAATGTGTTTGACCATATGTTATTTGCGACAATCAAAGCATATATCTGTCTATCAAAACACATTCCAATTATCTGCTCGATACAAGCTTAACGTGACCAACGAAACTTTACTTTCAATTTTAAATACTTTTGCTGATATCTCCCACAAAGTAATATTTTCTATTTGATTTATTTTTATTCAAGTTATGTGCAATCAACCTATAGTAATTACGGTACAAGAGCGAAGTTTTGTCTCGCGTACCGTTTACTATTTTTCTTAATCTTCTTGATCCAAAGTTTCTCGTTTAAAATGCCGCTAGTCAGTAATAGAACCACTTACATATAAATCTATTCCTTTGGCGTCATACAAGTAAGCATCTTCCTCTTTAACTCCAACACATATAGCTCCATTCTCAATCAACATGACTCCCAAGGGTCTTCCCACTTTTCCCAAGCCCTAAGTGAAACATGGCTGCAACCTAAACGGAATCCACGCAGAAAAGCTCACCTGAATTATAAACCTTTTATTCTTCAAACCAGTTTTGATGCAACCAGTTTTCAGCATGATTTCTCCATTATTAATAAACGTTTCTAAAGCTTTAAATGCACCTAACGCTGCGGCGATATCATAATTTTCAACTCCTCCGCATTCTAAAGGCTTTCCAGTAGATGCTGCATTTAGGCTTTGCCCTGTGATTGATGAGAAACTGAGTTAGTTTTCTTAGAGAGATAGATTAGTGCCCTTCAATTCAGCATGACTGTTGTACAGAGGTTTCTCAACCAACTATATTTCCATTTAAAATAAGTTTTGGTTTATTAGAAGAAATTAGCGATCTCCCCTTAAGTGTTTAATATTTCCAGCAATTATACGATCTGGTATTCGCAAATAACGTTCGGAACCTTCGGAACCCAATTTATCGAACAAAACTTGAATGATCTAACTCGTGAATCGTCCAACGTTTTGCAAAATAAAATCGATCCACTCATTACACTGTCTTTAGAAAACCAAGTGGGTGAACGAGGAAACTTTTGGTTCATTGAACAAAATTTACACTTTCAGCAGGATGGCGTATGTGGAAGAGCCACATTATGCATTGCGTGTTCGGCCATGGCTAAACGATAGGTTCCCTGACAAATGGATTCACAGAGGAGACGTTGTAGAATGACCAGCAAGATCAACAGATTCAACTTCTATGGATAGCTGCCCCTGAGATTATTTTAAGACAATTGTATACAAAACTGTCCGGAAATATTCAGGATATACAAAATATGATTACTGGTGCAAGCGGGTTAATTGATAGAGACACATTTCAAAATGTCCAACAATAATTTGATAACAGAGGTTGTACTTTTTTCAGGCAATTTTTCAATGATCAGCACTTTGCGATAAGCCTTAATAAAGCAAAAAGTTTTGCGGAATAAATCTATTTTTGTTGATCTCCTGGTGGAAAGTACACAGTCTCGCCACTGTTTTCGATAGCGAAATAATCACATTTACTCATTACAATGACATGACAATGATAATTTACCTCTCCGTCAGTTATTCAATTAAATTTTACTCATCCCGTGTGGAAAGTAATTATTTTCGCCACGCACGCTGACAGCTTGACTGTTTTGACAACATTATCGAAGCCGTTTTTTTCAAAACTTTAAACTTTTTCCGGCTAGTTTTCACCGAGGATCAATGTATATCAACAGTATACCGTACGCGAGACGAAAGTCGAAGTTCCGCCACTGCTTGAAGTTGACGCCCTCGGCCACTAACAAAAGACGATGCCCTTGTCTTTTGTTATATGATATTATTCGTTGGGTTTTATGATTTGACATATTTTTAGAAAACAGATCAAATGACTACAGTTTGGTAAACAGTAGCGACTCGGGGTATTTCTGTACTATACCATGTAGGTACTATACTATACCAAAACTTATGAAATGAGTCGATTGTTCAACAGCTGGCCATATAATTTAGTTAGATCAATTTAAAAATCGTGGATCCATCAGTAAAATTAACTCGATCATTATTCTATTTAAAAATGTCGTTTCTCTTTGAAAAAAAATGGTGTGCGTCACGGGACGCTCGACAGAAGTGATAACTTCATACATTAATAGAAACTATAAAATATTGAACTCGTTTAACGCATGATGGCAATAATAATTTTATTTT